ACAAGTAACAGTAAAATGAAAATCAGTTATCACAAAGGGAGAAGATGAGGCTTAGTGATGGGATGTTTTATTTTACAGTTCAGTGTTATTCACATCAAATACAGTTATCAATACCTAGGTAAGCACCTTGTCCCTTCAAGTTTGTGGATTTGAAACAATTTTTAGCACTGGGAGTAATTTGTGACTCTCAGGATTGGGAGGGCTGCTTCTTTAGCTAAGTGGAGCCATTCTTTTCGGACTCACATCTTTCAATAATTGCACTATTCATCTCTACTGCATGTCATGGTAAATGAATACTTTAAAGTCCATGTGCTGTGTAGAAGAGACAGCAGGAGATAGATTTGAAATGTGCCTTTCCATTTTAGTGTCATATACAATTACTGAAAGAGGCAACACACATGAACAACTTAAGTACTTAATGGTTTCCCCTTAAAATGGTAGCTTGATGTTAATATGTCCTGAAATAACTTTAATTTTTCATTATATCTGTAATTATGCAAATATTAAGAATAGAATTGTTGTGTATAAATATTCATGTTTGTGTATGAAGGTATTAAGGTATGTAGAGGTCAGATTCTGTACTGCAGTGAATCACAGCTGAGAAAAACAACAGCATAGCTCGATGTGTTTTTAACTGGAAATGGGCAGTGAGAGCTGCCAGGCACCAAAAGGACAGCTGGCGTGGCAGCATTTGACATCCTGTGTGTAATTGATTTTGAATGCTTGACAGGTTTTTATAATGGTGCAGGGGCATTTAGACCAGCAGGTAACTGTTGGGAATAGATTGAGTGGTGGTGAGCCCATTTTCATATTACTCTTACTCAAGAATCCTTTAGACACACTTGACATCAAAGATATGTTCTCTTTTAAGTTCAAGTGCTTGTCAACTGTTACACCTCTTTTCATCAAATTCCAGAAAAGCTGAACAACTTAAAACACCTGTATGTTATTTAATTAAGTGATCACTGTTAAAAATGAAATTTCAAGTACAGTTTATATATCAAACAAGAGTAGGAAATAAAAATATTGGCTGGGCAAACCAGCCTTTAGTTTTCATGTCCAAGTTATTTTTGTTGCTAAACCCTGAGCACAGGATCACTTGTGAATTTGATGTCAGAATTAGATCGACCAGCCTGATAATTACAACCAGAGAAAAGACAAGCTGTTTCTGTCTGTTTGAAGTGATGACATTTTTATTTTTTAATATGTGCTAAGTGGGCTGATCAAAATAATTCAATTCTTAGACAGCTACTGGGTTTGTTTTCCTTTTGCATTGCATGGCTGCAAATTGTCAATTAAAAAAGAAAAAATTCACATCTCTAAACAGATTTGATTTTGTCTGGGGTTCACCCACCTGTCCAGGATCTTAGGGATTAGTGCAACAGAGTGCCTTCATTCTGAGATTCTGAATTTACTATCTGGTAAAAGAGTTTGCATTGCCAATAGTGAAACATAATGTAGTGTCTGAAAATCAGGCTGCCTGGAGTCAGGCATGCAGATACTGAAGATTCAAAAATGACCAGCTGCTGTAAAAATCTAGACCTTTGGTCTTCAAACTTGTGGCAAAGTATTTTGTTCTTCAAGGATATTTTTTAACTCTGTCATCATTTGCTGCTAAAGGTTTGGTGTTTCGTATCCAGTCCATTAATGTTGGGATCTGGGTGAATATTTGTATTTGGGACAGTAAAGTATCTCACATAATATGTGATAAATATCCAAAACAACTGCTATGCTAAATTTAATAGATTGTGCCAAGCAATGTTCATAATATTTTATTAATGCCTGTGAATTGAATCTAGAAAATTTTACAGTGCTTTGACTGACCATTCATCCAAAAGATATAGGCACTTAATTGTGTCTAAGCAGCTGTCAATTTTGTATGCCCTTAAGATGTCCCCTTCTCACTTGGCTGATCTCATCAGGTTTGGAGCCTCTGAAATGTTCAGACTTAGACCAGAAGGGAAAATTTTGCTTGTCACAAAACTGCAATGGCTTAACCATTATGGTGCATGTCTAAATCTTAAAATATCTATGAAAATTATTAAGAGCTACAGGAAAGGACAAAGACGGTTGAAGCAAATTTTCATAGAAGACTAAATATCTTTTTGCAGTGGTTTATATACTTGTAAAGTAATTTGTACAGTAATTAAGTGCAGTATTTTGATAATAGACAAAGAGTATTTCCAAACTGAAAGGACTCACATTACTGTGCTCGTTAAATTAATTTCACCAGAGATTATATTTTTGAACAAAACCATGAAAGGAGAGTCCCCTGGAGCCCACAATTTTCAAAGAAATAGAGGGTAATAGCCTCAGTATTTTAGTTTACAAAGTTGATCAGATAATTTCAAGTCTGTCTACCCAGATACCTTTAGTTGTACAAACTGTCCTTCATTTGCTGTTGTAAAGATGTGTGGTGTTTTATGACTGAGTAAAGCTACAATGTTGTCTCTGAGTGTAATTTGCAATTGTTGGAGCAGAGGAGGTAAGAAAAATTGAATCAAGAGACAAAAGCTTACACTAGAGTCTTGGAGATCCTGCAACAATAATTTTTCATAGCAAAGCTGGGAAGTGCTGTGTCTTAGCTAATAATTGTAGCAAATATTACAAATAGCTTGAGCAATTATGCATTTTAACCCGTTCATTGCTTTAGAGCTAATAATCAGCTGCTTAAGTACTGCAGTTAATCTCATCAACTCTACTCATCTTCCTAAGATTATTTGCATACTAGAGGCTTCTTCACTCATTGGAGGGAGATATTTCATTGCTATTAGGTATTTATTAAAAATGTCTGACAGAAAATTGATTTAGTATTTCTTTGTTAAGAGAATAATAATTACAATGATTTTTTTAAACAGGCTTTCCCCCCCCCATTATTTAGGAATTAATTCATTGGTTATTAGTGTTTCCTAAAAGGGACTCATAGGTAAAACATTTCTATAAAATCTTGACATTTGAATGACTTGAAGGATATTTTTTAAAGAAAAGATATATTTGAGATACCCACTAATCTACTTTTGGTTTAATAATTCCATTTGCACACACAAGAAAATAGCTGTAGACAGCTTTATGATTCTAGATGAGAAAAGTATTGCTCTGGTTAGATCTCAGACACAGTCCATAGAAAATTAGGAATAATCCACAGAAAATTAGTTTAGATTAGCCTGCAGTAGCATAAAATACTATCTATCACTTTGAAAGCATCACTCATAAGACTAAAGAATACATTTCAAACATGTATGTTACAATAAATGCACATAAAATGCAGAAGCACTTGAACTGTTTGATGTTGGCCTCAGTGTTAGTTATGTTATGCTCTGTTAAAATATACAGGTTGCAGGAACTATTTCTTTTGTTTTTTAAAATTATTTTTTATTTTTTAAGCAGGATTGTATATGCATTTTCTTCTGTGGGTTTTTTCTTTTATTTTTTAATATTTTTTTTAAGGTAGGGGAAATCTTAATCATAAAGCCAAAAACTAGGACTTACTGATCCCATGTGGTTAAAAATCTACAGGAAATCCTGTGAGTGAAGGCCCTATTCTTTGCATTAAAATGTGACAGAGTGGTAATTTAAATTATGAAGGAGGGCCAGTTCCCACTGAACACTATCTAAGCAGAATTTAGCATACCTGTCATAGCCCATTTCGTTTTCAGGAGCCTTATACATCTGCTGCCTCCCAAAACATAATCTTGGGAAGCCAATGTATCAATACTTGACTCACATATTTACCATTTCTGTCCTGTCCTAATCACTCCACAAACTGATTTAAATATACCGGGTTCTACCAATATTGCACCAGTCTGTTTTGCATAGTAAAAATAAAGATTGTCTAAATTCACGGCTGCAAAATTTCTCAGACGGAAAATGTAGTGTGCTATATCCTTCCTGGAGTATTTGCTATCACAAAACAAAAAAAATGAATTTTGAAGAGCAATAGTTTCCTTCCAAGTAACCTCAGTTTCTGTGCTGCAAGACTGTGCTTGTTCCTGGATACAACAGAAATAATGGCTAAGAGCTTCCATTCTTTTCTCAGAATCTTTTCAGTAATTAGACTAGACACCAGGAAAAACCTGGTGTTAAATGTTCTGTTCCAGATTTTATCCTCTCATTTATATCAAGCTAAACAAATATTCCAAACACAAGCCAGTAGCATCTGTTAATTTTTCTCTTTATTACCTTACACAGGTTATTTAATTTTTTTAATATATAAAAGGCAGTTCTCAGCCCTACACAGACTTTAGCATTCATACAGTTTGCATGTAAATATTATTTTTAGCTGTGAACACAGTTATTTTTATTTATGTAAACAGTCTTCTGTCTAAGCCTTGATCATAGTTGGATTCTTTTGTAGTTGTTAAAAGAAATTTATTGCAATTGTATAACATTATATCATGGCAATGGTTTCTTTCCCTCTGAAATTTCTTAAATGTTCCTTATTAGAATGGTCTTACATCACTCAGGTTTCAAAATTATTTACTTCACATGATCACAACATCATTTGAGAAAATATGAATTTCTTCCATGCCAGATGGTAATGGGTATTGGTGGCTTTTTCAGTGAAAGAGATAGGAAGCTTCTGAATTTCTTTTCTTCTAAAAGTTATGCCTTCCCACTCAACTGTATTCCCACCTGCCAGCAAAGATAGATTTTTTAAAAGTGACTCCCTATCTTGCATCCAAAGAAATGACTGTATTTTAGCAAAAGTTTAGTATAATGGAAAGTTCACCTCTATTCTGTGTCTAAAGATTTTTTAATATTTTTGGGCAAAAGCTGTTGCCTGGGAAGTTTGCTGCATTTATCATGAGCCAAGGAATTCCCATCTGGCTGGTTTGGGATTTCAGCTGTCTGTGGACAGGAGGGACTGTGTCAGTGCAGCTCGTGTGGCAGCAGCTGGGCAGTGTGATTGGCTAAGATATTGTATTTATCCAGGTGAATCCTAGGCCTGCTTTTCAACAGTGATGCTGTTGGTGCTGATTATCACAGTAAAGGACATCTGACCATCCCTGGTTGCAGATCAATTAATGTAAGTTATTACTACAACAACGATATTTAACCTTGACTTAACATTTGACTTATTAACATGAGTAATAGTTTAACACAGACATGTTTAACATGTGTAGGGATTAGTTTATATTTTTTAACAATGAGCTGTACCATTGTTGTAAGCAAACTACAAGTGTAGAGCAGCTGTAGGAGAGTTTCTGTAATGTACTTTTCATTCAGAGGGAACAAACGGATTTGTGTTGCTTCCCAGAATGATCTGCATAGGAAAGTGATGCCTTTCAGGTGATAAATTAGGTGCTATATACTGTAAGAAGTGCTTAAAAATCCAGATGTATTTGAAAAGTAGCTCTAATGATAAAATAGGACTTTTAGGCACTGAAGTTTTCAAACAATGCAGGATTTTGATGATTTTATTTTATGCTCAAATTTAGTCATGCTTCAGATTTTACCAAATGTGCCAAAATCTCACAGTAAAACCAAATCACATTAAAACAAAAAAGCAAAACCCCAATCCAAAGAGGGAACAAGGGGGATGATATGAGTTTACAAATCACTGGCTTAACCCTCTTCAACACAGTCATCTCACAGCCAGTCTTGTCAGCATTTGTCCACAAGCAAAACACAGGGTTAATATATGTCCTCTACATTGTAAGAGTGAGTGCATAATAATGCTTTTGATAAAGTAAAACATTTGATCAGTGACCAATAATACTTGTTTTTTCTATCTTGTGATTATTCCATTTATTCTAGTCTTAATACTTATTAATTGCTAATACATGTTTTATTCAAATAAAGTTGTTAGTGTAAGAAAGCTGGAATGTTAATGTGAGTTTTCTTGTCATTGCACATTCTGTCACAGGTCATGCAACCACTCAGTTCAAGGCTGTGCTTAATTCATTGGGATGAGGAATTCACTTGGAATGGGTGGGAGGCTGAGTGGGTGGCTGTGGTTGACTCTGCACATGTTCCACCAAGTAATCCAAGTGCCTGGACATTTGTGGAGTTGTCCCTGCAGTGAGTTATTGAATAGGCTTTTTGTAAACATATTTGACTATGCTACTGTTATAAAAAGTAATCACCATATGATCTTACTGTGGTTAAGACCTGACTGACCTGACTTTGGATTTTGAAGCTGTTTAAGTGCAACTTTCTGTAATGTTGAGAGTGGATGATTTTATTTTAACTCTGAATACAAAAAGAGAGATGCAGATGGATTTTCAAAATTCTCCCCTGTTATGTGTGTTATTCTACTCAGCTGCAAAGGTGCTACATATTCTGTCTAGAACTGTCTGATAATATACAGTTCTGTTTCTCATAGGAATTGAATTTTAATCAGGAAAGAAAAAATGCACTTGGGAATAAAAACTGCCAACATTCATTAGTCCTTGAATCAAGAAGTTGCATAAGCCAGCACTCTTACAACTCTCTGGGTGTATGGTAGTGTGGGTGGAACTCTGAACTTACAAAGGAGCGTCACTGGAGTCAGGTGTAGGATCAGAACAAATTTATGAATGCAATCATTCCCACTCTTAATGGCAGCCCTCTAAAATTATGTAGGATTTCCTTCCCACGTCTTTCACGGGGTGTTTAAGAAGCAATGAATTTTCTCTTTAAAAAAAAAAAAAAGAAGGAACAGAAGTGGTTGGAATAAATTGGTTTTGTGTAGAGAGGTTTAAGTCATGATGCTTCGTGGTTATAAATCGTATTGTAGACCTGTCAGAAATGGCTTCTGTATATATTCCTTACCCATTGCTCATGGATGGCAAAAATTCTAGAATTTCCTTTTAATGGATCCATAGCCAGATCTCCCATACTGATGAATTTGCTATCACAAGTAATACCTACTGTGCCTGAATGTTTTCTGAGTACACTGAACTTTTATCTATTTCTGACCCTAAAAACTGAATTGAATTCAGACAGATGTTCACCAGCCTCCTTTGATACCTAAATGACATGAACTAATTTTTCTCTCTTAACTTGAAATTTGTGAGACCACAAATCTCTTAACTGAACATGGCTCCCAGTGGCTGATATTTTAAATTGTGACCAGCATGAATACCAGCTCTATTTCTTTTTCTGTCATGAGGAACTAGCACTGGTGCAGTTGGCATGATAGCAAAGAATCCAGGAAGAGTGTTGATTCTTCAGGAACACTTGCAGCTTATGTACATGATTAAATTCTTCAATTTCTTCCAAAAGAAAGTCCCTAATTAATTCATTACCATATATCTGGGGAGACATCCCAATGCAATCTCTACAAGAGTTCCATCCTACAATAGTCCATTAAATACCTGCTTAAAAAAGTTCTTAAAGGACTTGCAGGTACAGAAAGAGATGCCTGACCCCCATTTAATCTGGATGGAAGATGTGTTGTTTGTGGGTTTTGTGGTTTTATGTGTTATTCCAAACACATTTTGTGTGTTTGTGTTATTCCAAACACAGCATCTGCTGTATTTGGAAAAAGAGGCTCATAGGAGTTTGAATGTGAGGATTTCTCCACTTATTGGGGGAAACCACTCATGGGACATGAGCAAGGAGCTTTTCAACCATGCCTTTGTGCTCATTTTTTTTCCTCTGACTATAGTAAGGTAATTTTGTTTTTGCTGCTATTTTGACTAAATATTTCTCTGCTTGTCTGTAGACTCCTGATATGTATTACACTATGTGATCTCCCTTCCTCATTTGCTTTTGTTTTACCTGTGCAACCCTAATTTCCCCCTAGTTTTGTTAAACCTAACCTAGCTAAGTACTTCTTTGTTTTCTTATTATTCATCTCTGTGGTATCTAGTCAATGTTACGATTTCCAGCTTGGTTTAAGATTTCCAGCTTGGTTGCAATAACAATATGTTTTATCTAACCTAGGTTTCTCTCCAATGCTCCTATTTCCTGTCTGGTACGGTTTCCATTATGGTGGAAAAGGTAAGTTTAAAAAGAAAAAAGGAAATCAAATGTAGTTACAAAAATCGGGATCACTGTGCTTGCTGTGTGTCTGCAGAGCTGTTTCTGTAATGCTTTGGTCAGAGATGATGCTCTGCTCACACAGCACAGTTTGTGCTGAATTCTTCTCTATGCAATAAGGTCCTAGTTTTTCTCACAATAAGCTTTACAGCTGCATTAATTCTTGGAATTATGCATAACCTTCCATTTCTGTGTATCCATTTCTCTCTCACCTTCAAGTCTACTAAAATTGATTTCTTCCATTATCACCCTTTATTATATTTTTCTTGGTTATTAAAATGGACGAGTCTTGCAGTTAAGGGCTCTCTGTTGATCAGTGGTGTTATACCACTAGTGACTGTTCTTTCTTCCCTCCAGAACCTGGTATCCTAACTCTAGTAAAGGCTGCCATGGGATAATAAAGTTTCTTAGGTTTATTTTTCTAATCACTAAGATTGAGGTGAAGGTTTCTCAGTACCTGATGAGCCTTAGATACCTGGAGAGCTTTGAAGACTCCCAGCATTGAAAATCTAGAATGAAATATTAGTAATATGTATTGAAAAAAAATAATGAAAAGTTTTCTGTGATCTTCTACATTAAAATCAGTTTCAAGGGAAATTCTGAAAAATAGAGCATGCTTTTTAAAAAAATGAAATTACATTGTCCTAAGAATTTCTATTTTTAGGCATGTAACAAAAGCAGGATGGTGTTGTGTGAAAAATGTAAAAATATGTAGATTTTTCATGTCTAGATCATAGTATTATTTCATAAGAAATTATTATAAGCCTTCAAAATTAATATCCTATCCAGCTATTGAAGGCAAATTAAATGCAAATGAAACTCCTCAAATGAACGCATAATGCTTACTACACTGAGGTTTCAAAACACATTTGTGATGCTGACTAGAAAAAAAATCAAACTTACATTGAATGTACTCTGCAAATGCAAATGTCATCATCCATTTCTTTTTATGCTTTTCTGGTTTGTGCTCTTTGTTTTGCAAATATGGTAATTGTTATGCAGTTGTATTAAAATTGGAAGAAGTCATTGAAATTCACCCAACAAATACACTCTACTTCCAAAGTTATTTGGTTCAAAAGTGTAAAATGGATTTTGAATTTTATGTCAGCAGTTTTAAAGCTTATCATGTTACATTTCATATATTCTACTATGTCACAAATGAGATCAGAAATATTGAGGTGTTAGCATGAAACTACCAAAAAACCCCAAAAGGCATGTTTTAATCTCTGATTTATTTGTTATTTTTAAATGAAAGGCCAACTGATGACATTTCTTTTGGCAAGACAAATGTTTTAATTCATATACTGAGGTCCTTTACTTAAACTCTGAATGGTGTACTTTCCTTCCAGTATTTTAATTTCAAGAGTTACCTTAACATATCAATTTCTCTGTACAAGTCCTGTAGGACATAACTTTTTAAGCCTAAAAGGATTACCCTTTTGTGCCTTCATGCATTTTAGACTTCCATTTACTCATCTCCAGTGACAATGCTGGGAAGAGTTCTCTCATGTTTGCTACACCACCACTGACCACCAGTGTGGTCTGTGATACAAAATCAGGGAGCTGAACAATCTTTCTCCAGTACATTAAGTTTTCTACACTAACTTTTTTCTTAGCTGTCATTATAGGTGACTTCCAGCACTGCTAAATCTCCCAGGTACTGGACACCTTCATCTGCAGTGGTCTGCTTTCCTGGGGACTTCACAGGATCTTAAAAGAGCATCTTGCCCAGCACAGCAAGACAATCAGTGCCAGGGTAAAGCACAGAGCCACAGGTTGTGTGAGCCTGTTCCCAAACCTGGCAAATGAGGTAAGCAGCTCAGCTGCCAGCTCCCTGTCCTGCACAGGACCTGGCTACCCAATAACTGCTGTAGCTACAGCGTGAATAATGTGAAATTGCCATGGTCTCACCCACACTGGGCACCACAAAGGACTGTGGTGGGCTCACCTTGGCTGCATGCTAGCCCTCACCAAGCTGCTCTCTGATTCCTCCTCAGCTGGACGGAGGAGAGAAAGTTAGATGGGAGATGAACAAGGTGGAGATGAGACAGGTTACTAAAACAAAAGGTTATGTGCACACAAGCAAAGGAAAACAAACCCCAAAGATTTAATTTTCTGCTTCTCATTAGCAGGTGTTTGGACAGTGTCCAGGAACAGAGCTTCAGCTCTCATAGTGGTGGGCTCCAGAAGGGAAATGTTGCAAGCAAAGAATGCCCCCACTTCCAACTCCTCTTAGGTTTTGTTTCTGAACTGATGGTCTGGAAAATCCTACTGGTCAATGTGGATCCACTGTCCTATTAGTGTTCCCTCCCATGTTCTTGCCAACTCCCAGCCTACTGCCTCGGGCTGGAGTGTTGAGAGGCAGCACTGATGCTGTGCCAGCCGTGCTCAGCAGTAGCCAAAACTCTGGGGTGTTATCAACACCTTTCCAGCTCCTGATGCAAAGCACAGCACTGTGAGAGGGCTGCTTGGGGAAATGATCTCCAGCTCAGCCAGACCCAATATAACTGTTCATGCAGTTATTCACAGGATTCACAGTGTAGGAACAAGATTAAGACCATTAAGAGAGGGAAAGCTGAATTGCTCTAAATGACTGACACAGGCTTTCTTTTGCTATGGTTTGGGTGGAGGATGCTGGATCAGAATAGTGGTGTGTCAGGTATGTGCCCTGTAGTACTGTGCAGGCATCCTTACCTTTGTCAAATGCAGAAATAAAAAAAAAAAATAAAATTGGGCAAAAAACTCAAGCCCCACAGTTCTCACAGGACATAATAATAATGAGGCATGTGGTGTGCAAAACTTGGATAGAAGGCATCAGAAGACTGACCTGCAAGAAAGGTGATTATTACATACCTAAACAAGGAGCACAAAGAAAAAAGCTTTGTTACACACACAATATATGGTGAACAAGAAAGGTGGAGCAACTTTATGGAACTGATTGTCAGGGAAAAAAGTAAATGCTAAAGCATTTTATGGGAAATTAAAGTTACACCCTGTGGTGAGAGAGACATGCAGACAAAGATGAATACCCATGTGTTTTCATTTTGCAGCATAGCAGCAAAATCTGTTTTCTCATTTGTCTTGTTAAATGTTTCAACTGGCTCTGTATGCATTGTCTTTATATCCTGCAGGATACAGGTTAAGATTCTACATGCTGTTTGTCAAATTTTAAGATGTAAAGCAATGCTCTTGGAGGCTTAGCATCTTTGTTTAACTACAGCTGTGTTACAGTATGTGTTTGAGAGTCTGATTGAATATTACAAGGCTACATGCAAAGCAGATCTCCACTGATGTAGCTTTTGATTAGTGGGGAAATGGAAAATAATTTTTGGGGCTGCAATGGTTTCGTATTTATCATCAGATACTGTTAATAAAGGGAGAGTGTCTCCTTTCTGTACACAGGTACCAACAGCAAGTTTTGGGAACTATGCAAGCCATATCTGAGGACCTGGAATCTAACTGATTACTTGGAAAGAAAGCCAAAATTTTTGAGTTTATGGGAATCTCTTTTATCATTTGGAGAGGATCTTAGAATTACTTGTCTGGAAGGAAGTATTTCTGTGTGTATGTATATCAGCCAATGTTCAAATCTCAGTATAAAGAGAAATAGAGTTTTGACGCTTTCTTTTAATATTTTAGTTATGTGCTCCACTTTATTAGAAATTTTCTTTAGCTACTGGCAATTCAAGGTGGTTGCTTCAAATAAATCTGTAACTCTGATGACATAGGAACATAAATGCCATTTAATATCTATGATACTAGGGCATGTATGCTTTATAAAAAGTAGCTATAGAATAGAAATATTGAATGCCATAGTTGTTATTAGCAGTTTATTAATATCTGACCATGAAGCACGATGTGACTGGTCTCTCATCTGATACAAAATAGTGTAGTTATCTGAATCAGTAGAGTTATGCTGGCTTGACCCAGAAGGGTTTGAGAGGAAATCTGTAAAAGTTGATGTGAGCTTTGATCCATATTGGTCAATCTATTAAAAATACATATTTTAAAATTTGTTAATGGAGGAGTAGTTGCCCTGTGACACAGATTACAGCAACAGATGACTGGAAACCAGGCAAGAGGTGTGCAAGCTCCATGCCCAAAGAGATGAGCACTTGGCACTGGCAAGGGAAGTATTTGCATGGCCACTGGCTGATGGTTTTCAGAAATTCAAGTGTGGCCTTTGGCTGTTTGCTTCTGGTAATCTCTTTGCCTCTTGCCTCTAAGTTCCTTAGACTCCTGTTTATGTACAAGTCTCTTTCTTAATGAGGCTGTGCATGTAGGTCTATAAAAGTACATTCCATTTATATGAATTCTGAAAACTAAATACAGCCAGCCTTTCAGTCTGTGTGGGAATCACTGAAATATATAACTGCTGCAGGTAGCAGGTGAAGTTTTTCCTTGAGTCACTTTGGTAAATCAATTTTCCACTGGGGTGGGTCATAATGTGCCAATGATTTTGCTGTCTCTAGAGGTGTTTTCATTCCATTGAAATATAAACATGAGGGCACTTCAGTGAAAGATTTACTGCATAGCTTTCCTTTCAGTCTTTTGTAGTGCCTATATGAAGGGCTACAGCTGTTTGCAAATAAATTTGTATACGGAGAGAAATAATGAGATTTTTTAAAAATCCAGTATCAACAGGAAGAGTGAAAACCTTTCAGTTTTGTCTATTCTTAATGTTATTGCATTGCTCCAAAATCTGGTTTTAAGAACTAAATAATATAAAATGTTTTAAGTTAGATAGGTAGATGGAATTAATTTCAACAATATTTAAGATCCCTAAATAGGAAAAGGTGTGGACCTGACATTATTTAGAGGTTTCCAGTCCCGTTTTGCAGATATGTTGACATTTATGAAACCGTCAAGCTTTGATCATATTGGTTAATCCAATTTAAAGATGCTTAGAGATTTTGTTTAACCTTCAGCTTGAGATAACTGGTGGTGGTGGTTTCAGAGAGAGGGAGCAATAGCACATTCAGGAGAAATACCACACGCCAGCATTTGCAACTATTACCATTTAAATAGCCTGTGTCAACCTAAACAATACACAAGGGTTTGGATGACATTTTTTGAGGGAATTTGATTCCGAGGATCTTTACGGTATGATAAGTACATGATCCAAAATGACATATTATGGAGTCATTCTGGGCTGGGGTGAACACAGATCTCAAGCAAAGGATGATAGGCAAAAATGCACCTCAAACTGCACCGAAGGAGCAAGAAATTACAAATAGATGGAAAACACTTTAAACAATTTCCTCCACCATGTACAGGACTGTACTGTGACATTCATCAGAGGAATCTCATCTTCCCAAGCTACTTCCAATTTTCTGCAGCCTATTTGAATAGGTCCACTTCTATTAGGACCAAATTTAAGGGACAGGTAGGGTTTTCATTCCAGCTAAACCAGGACACTGTGTCAGTACTGCAGGGATGATCTCTCTAAAAATCCTGACTTCCAAGTTCCTTGATTTGTAAATATACATTTATTTACAGATACACACCTAAATAGCTCATTAAGGATAGTGTTTAGGAAGAATTTTCAGGATTGAGGATTAGGGAAAATTGTAATTTTTTGGCTTTATTTCTATTGTTACATAAAAATCCTCAGTAGATTTTTATGAGACCCTGCAGAAAAATTCATGTTATAAATAAAGAAAAGTCTAAAATAAGGTCCAGGGGCTCTGAGCGTTATAATCTTGCACTTGAGATGTTAGGCAGGGATGAAGAAGGCTTGCAAGCTGCTCCTGCAGTGCTGGGCTGCAGAGAGCTGTGAGCACAGGGCTGGAGGAGTGCCAGTGCCCACCAGAGCCAAGCAGGGGCGACTCGAGAGGGAGAATGCAGCTTGGGGTATCAGAATCTGCTGTCTAGGTTGATTTTTAGAATACCAAGTGTGATAAATTATAGCTTAACTCTCAATTGTGTAAGTGTGACACTTTCATAATAAACACAGGCTGCTTGGGTTTATCTGAAAACAATCTTATACATTTGGTTCATTTTATTCATGGGGACAGTTTCTATGTCATCTGCTGAGTGGGTTTGGTGCTTTTCCCCCTTTTTTTCCAAAACTAGCTCTGAGTGCTTGCAGGGAAAGAAGAAAACAGACACCAAGAGGAACTGAAGTTGTTCACTGTGGGAAGTGTGCCTACAAAATTTGTCTTAAAGCTTTGAATATTTTATTTTTGTTACAAAATTGATTTCAAAGACTGAGAAACATATCTTTCAGTCTGCATTCTTTATCTGCAAAGTTTTTTTTAAATTCTTTGCTTTAAAAGCTTTGCTCTCTTTTAATAAATGGACAAGAATGGATTGGTCAATGTTAACCTTTAAGATACAGTTTTTGGTAGCAAACAGAAACTTTTACTTAATGCTCCAGTAAGATGAAGGATGATGTCTGGCACAAAACAGGATGGACATTGTAGCACTGACCCTGCCTTTGGGATTCCATAGGAGAAATACTGTGCATGGCAATATTGGCAATGATGTTATGTTGTTTTTAATGCCCGTGGATGTAGCCTGAAGTGACCTATCTGGTTTAGTTTTCTGTCAGTGCTTTTTTTAGCAGGGCTGTATACCACTGTTTCACTTTTTTATCTGTGAAAATGTTCTTTATATAGCTGTCAGGCCATTATCTGCCTGCAAAATACTCTCTCTGATAAAAGATTCCTTACTTTTTTTTTTTTTTTTCCGTATTATCTATGAGATATATATATATGTATATATATATATACAGGAATACACACTGTGTCTGAACTTATGTGGCCCATGAGAGCTGTGGAGATGCTTGTTCCCATTTCAGCTACTTCCTATAAACTGGTTACAATTTTAAAAGCTCATTGTAATATCAGGCCTGCTTGTGATCATCTTCCAATTGAAAGCTAGTGTGATGCATACTGATATCTTGCTAATAGATGTTGCATGACACATGTTCAAAAAAAAGAAGTAACATTTAAAAATGGCACTCGACATTGCTGATGATGTAAATGATGCAACCCCATCAGTTTTGAATCAATTTGGATTTAATCATCATTTATAATTCATTTGATTTCCTCTTAAACTCTGCCTCAAGCATGTCCTAGGTGTTTAGACTGCAGAAAGATAAAATGCATAGATGTATATTGCTGCCTAATAAATCTCTTTCATGTTTTCCACTTGCAGAGCAGGGTAGTCTGACCTTGGAAAAGGGCTATAATCCAGTGGCTTTATAGAGATGAGGAAGCAGCTTTGACAAGCAGAAGTTAAACCCTAGATGGTCCAGGACTATCTAGCCATTGCTTAATCTTCTTAATATGGTAAGACAAATCCCATTCTTCATTTTTATATTAACATATTTCAATTTTATTACAGTTTTTAACTCTTAAGCATAGCTGTATAAGCTTGGGTAGAAATGCCAGATGAGCATACCCATTGAAAATAAAAAGAATTCCTCAGCTCAGCAAGCTCACAAGTTTCAAAAAGCTTATTTTAAATGGCTATGAGTGAGAAAAAATTAGGGCATTGAGCAAGCCAATGTTACTACTGCAGAGATAATAAAATAATGACTGTAAGGGGAGAATTAATTATTATTAACAATAAAATACATTTATTCTGCCCAGGGCTTGCTGTCAAGAGAGGATTTCTAAGTGGCCACAGGGTTAGAAATGGCCACTTCTGTTAGTTACCTACAGCCTCAGCTGGTTTCCCTTATTTTGGGAGCAGGATTTGATTATCCCCAGTTGTTTCTGAGAAGGAACATCTAATGTCAGCCTTAATCTCTGTGAGGCGACTGCTTGTTATTGCAGTCTGCACAGAGACTGACCAGGAGGATTCCACTTTGAAAACTGGGTCTGGAAATTAAGCTCTTTTCTTTTCCACATCTCTTTTTCATTCTTCTCTCCTAAACTAGTATAATGGATATTATTCTCTATTTGCAGCAATTGCCTGCCACTGAGCAGGTTACACAGGCCACTGAAGCAGCCAAAGAGCTGAGTGGTAGTTAAAGTTGGCCAGATTAATTTAAGATACTATTTCAAAAAATGCATACTTTTTATTTAAGAATAATTAAATCAGATATTAAATATTTTATGGTGAACTTAAAAAAAATTCACTCCCTTTGCAAATGTAGGGACAGAGAGTCTGTGATGTCTACTCAGTGTGTGCTTTGGATATTAAAATCTGTGATTTGAGCTATGGTGTTGTTCTGGTATGTCAGTGGTTTGGAAGTTATAAATAGATTATATGACATGTTCTAGGAAACTTGTTTGCTTATGGGCTATTTTTTTATAAAATATATCTTTCTTTGATGAAGAACAAAATTACTAATAGCAAGAAAAAATCAGTATTTGCAAATATGTTTAAAAATTCACAAAATTAGTAATAAACCATAAACAGTTAAATTCCAAACTGACTGTGTTGAAGAGAGTTGTTCTGAAAACATTTCCCAAGTTTCACTAGCTCTCACATTTAAAATCCAATGCAGAATAAAATCTCTAGAAAGTGTGAAAGATTGGGAATCTTAGTCAAGACACCCCAAACCAAGTTTTGTACCTTTGCTTTAAGGGTGTTACTGGTATTTGGAAATCTGGAAGGGAGGATTTGAAATCTGGCTTCTCAGATGCTGGTTGTATTCAGCATAAATAACCTTGGAAAGGGCTGATTAGGTATGAGATACAGGCTGTTGATTGATTAAATTTGTTTGAATACTCAAAAGCAAAGCTGATTCTAAACAGGTAAAACATGTTTTTTATGAAACTGAATGGCAGATGAAATTCAATTTTGGTAAATGGAAAGGAACTAATGTATTTAAATATGCATTTTGATTCAGTAGTTACTATTCAGGAGGGAGATATTGGCATTATTTTGATTAGTTCAATAAAACTGTCACCTCAGCACCAGCTAAAGAGGAAAATACAGTTCTATAAAATATCTTGGGAAAAAATAAGATGAAATAATGAATGCAATCCTTTTGAAATCTAGGTTGCATTGTTATCTTGTATATTAAGACAAGAGTTGTAAAAGTTCCCAGAGGAACTAGAAGGGCTACGAAGAGCAATAATAGACAAAGAAGGGTTTCTTGTTGAGGACCAATTAAAGTGCTCTATAATTTCTCCTTGGAAAAGAGAAAACTGGGCTTGTGGTAAAGGTCTAATAGCTGATAAATAGTGTAGGAAAAGTAACATTTTTTTTCTTGTAAGGATGACAGTGTACTGAACAAAAAAATCATGCAATGGTTTTAAAACCAACAAATGGAAATATTTTCTTCACAAATGGGTAATTAAATTGTGGAATTCCCTGTTGGAGAGTATGGTAGAGATATGAAATGTGAATAGGCTCAAATAGGATTTGATTACTTTGAGCTGTAATGAATAGATGTGATTTTGTGGATTTGAAAGAAAACGCAGTCTTCAGATATAATTCCTCCCTCTGGTTTTAGTCACAATGTCTGCTGGAGGGATGTGCCATTTTCCTGGTTTCATGTAGTATTTTCCAACTGTGGACCTTTCTTGAAACAAAAAATGGCTGTTCTTATGATCTCCAGCTATTTTAAACAGGATTAATTTTATCAATATTAACAGTTTCTCTATGAAGTTATGTTAAATGCTCTATGTGTTTAGACTTTAATCTCGTGAGGGGCACCTGCCAGACGTGCACACTGACATGGGCAGTGCTTGGAGAGCTGTCCCACAGCCAGGTGCCTGCCCAGGGTGTTCATGCCCTGCAGCCTTGCTGCACACTCAGGGCTCTTGGCAGCCGTGGGTGATGACAGGGACAAAAGTGCAGGGGCAAATTTAGGGACAGGGATTTTCTGCTCTGTGGCTGCTGTTGGGTTTGGTCAGAGGGTTTCTTTCTGATTGCAGAGCTGCATCAGCTGCTGCCTTGAACACAGGGCTGACAATTTCATCTGTATGGCAATCAAACCCAAAGAGACTGTGGCATGAGACTTCTCTCTTCTTGTTTGGGGTCTTGTATCCTTTTCTGCATTCTGTTACCAAGCTACCATGGACCCTGTTATGTTCACCCATGTTTTTTCCTTACCTACTTGTGAAGAATCAATGTTAGTGAGTTTGCAATTTTGGCATGGTGTCTAACCTGTTTCATATTTTTGCTTATCAATTTCAGGACCAATTTTGGCATGGTGTCTAACCTGTTTCATATTTTTGCTTATCAATTTCAGGACCAAGTAATTATTATATGGCTTTTATTTTTTGTTCTTTGGTTTTTTTTTGTTTTTTTTTGGTTTTTTTTGTGATCCATAATAGAAGTTGTATTTATTTATGGTAAATGATGCAAGTTTGTGGATGCATGTCAGGTTTCTCTGTTTGCAGGATTCATTTTTGTATCAAAAGGTGTCTCAAGGAATGGAACAAAATGGGCTAAGTAAGAAATAAGGTTAAAAAAAACAAGAGGAGGAAAAAAATATCAGTAGAATTTTGAATTAGCCCATGTGAGAAAAGGTATTGTCAGCAAATTCTAGAAAGTTTTTTTGGATACATAATGAGCAAAAAAAATACATTTCAGAAATACAGGATGCACTTTAATTCCCTTAAGCCTCTCCTTTCTACTTTGGCCTAAATTTGACTTTGCTGGCATGTCCTCCTCACAGCAAAGTTCATGGAAAGCCAGAATGGTGCAGCTGGTTCCTGGCTAGTTTGTTGCTAAGGGGAAATCTTAATTAAAGCCTCCTTCATTATGTGCTACCATATCCTTGGAAGGGATGTGATGTTGCAGAGAATATTCCATGTCAGGGACAGCTTCAGAGAACAGTGGTCAGGGAATACATGTTCTTTGGAGAATAAGGGTTTCTAAAATAGATAATAATATGCACAGTTAAAGTTTGGAAAATGTGGCCTTTGCTTTGGGTTTGCAATTCTTTGGGCATTCTGCCTGTGGCTGTACACTCACATATCCTGGAATTTCTGCCAGTCACCTGCCACTTGGTGTGGTAGCATCCAGACGTGCTTCTTGCCAAGTCCCACAGGACTCCTTGTTGCTCTGTGCTCAAAGATTTAAACCAGATTAAAAAGCAACCATGAGAGCACAAAAAGAGCCCTTCAGTATCTGTGCAGCATCACTGGCCTCTCACAAGCATCAGCACTCCTTGGCACCACACAAATGCTCCAGCTGCCAGTGGACATCAGTGGAGAGCAAGAACTGGATGGTGAGCTGAGCTTCAGGAGGACACTCCAGCTCTACTGACATCTTCAACAAAATGTTGCATTCACTCAAAAATAGTCTTTTGCAACATTGCAATTGCCGTATTTCAAGCAGGGATAATTCTGCTTGAAATTTATATATAATTTTAATTTTCCCCATGGGAAAAAAAAAAAAAAAGTTGATTGAATCATTCCTTCACAAAGACTCCTGAATCTGCATTTTTTAGTAATTTGTTTAACAAAAAAAATGCTCAGCTTAGTATCTGGGAATTTGGGATTAATATCCTTGGCTAAAATTGTCTCTTTATCCAAGCAAAAAATCTTTGACTCTTTAAACATTGACTAAGATATGTTGACATAAATGAAGAAACAGTGCTTTTAGGCTTCTGAATTCAAAAGTGATATAAGAGTAAACGAACACCCTTTTCATAATAAAATTATGGAGGTAACGAGCTTTCAGTAAAATCTTTCATATTTTGCTAGAGAAGCTTTAAAAATTATTCACTCCTGAATAGATTTAACTTACAGGATTTCTATGAGCACAAATGTTTGGCTCATCCATTTCCTTTGGTGGATACATAGTAAACCTAGAAAGTCCAGTTATTTCCTTTAAAGGACAACTAGGTGAAGATGTAATTTTCATTATAATTACATATATTTTTCAAGAAACTGTTGCCTTATGCTGAGAAACATGTGAGTATAGCCAAATACATAAACCAATGATGGTTTTTTATGTGGCGTTTGTTATTGGGATCTGCTGGAATGCTTTACTTCTATTTTACAAATAAGAAACGTGCAGTAATTTTCAGAAATATTTCAGTAGCTGTTCTGTAGTTCAGTGAAATGAGACCTGCAGTGGTTTAATCTGTTTTTTAATTAATATGTCTATATCTCCGTAAAAACAAATCCAGTGGGATCTTGCTGACACTATTAACTCTTGTGAGATTATGCTACATATCAGTAAACTCAAATAGAATTGAAAGGAGATAATAATTTTTAATTTATTCAGATAATTTTGAATTCTCAAAATTATTTTTTTCAGTTTAGTCATGCATTAAAATAGCTTTCTCTTTTCGTCTTGAAAATATTTGAAAATGTGTGTTTGTTCAGATAAAAGCACCCTTGGCTGCATTTAGCTTATTCTCAGTATTTCCAAGGTCAGACCAACAGCAACGTTCAAGGGCTCAATAATCAGATTCTGATTTGGGCCTCAGCAGTGTAAAC